AGGATATCAATTATCAATAATTGATTAGCATTATTATTCTTGATCAACAATCCAAGTAAAACAGCCAGATATGCTGCAATAATATTACTATCAGTCTAAAAAAAAAAAAAAGATTGAAATTAATATGTCTAATCATATTCTCGAAAAATAATAAACAAATAAAAGTCGTAGTAATAATAACCTCATCATCATCTTTTTCAAGTTGGTAATTATACAAAGATACAAAACATGATACAGCGGATTCACGTGACGAGCATGTACAAGTTCGAAGACAAGTATGCGAGCCTGTACAAAATGGGTTTTGCTCTTGAAACAAACATAATTAAATTATCGTAAATATATTGCATGATACATTTTATGCTTAAATCGTATGTAATATAATAGTAATAGTCATATCTCACCAACTTTTCGGAATTCGTCTTGGTTCCCAGGATCCATTTCAACCAAATTGATAAGTAAACCGATACTTAACAATAACACATCGAATTTGACTGCTTCAATAGCCATTGAATTCACAGGAACATCTAAATCCATCCTGTCAAAACCGATATTCATTGTTACAGTATCTTTAGGAGGAAGCTGTCCAACAGTGGCAAGTCTAACAAGAATTGACATTCCAGGAATACACCCTATGCATTGACAGCACGGTTGATTGTCATTAGAAAGATTAATAAGCACACGTAGACTACCAAGAAGACATTCCATTGCTAAAATTATTAAATGTAAAGATTTTTTAAATATAAAAGTCAATGGTATCGAAACAATGATAATATTATTAAACAAACCTATTGATGCACGATGCATATTTTTACTACAAGCCTCGATTTGACAGTATAATAGGAACTCCAGCAGCATCCGTAAAAGTTCTTTATCCTTTTCGACGATGTCGAATTGGTTCTCAGCACAGAAGAGAGTAGCATTCTCTATTATTCTAAGACATTGCCCAATACATTCGAAATCCAATACATTCGCCGATAAGTTCAATGACTACAAATATATTTATATTAATTGATTTAATACCAACCAAATTTAAATTAAATAAATAAAGACTTGGTGCATCTTAATAAATGCCGTTAAAATTCTTACCTTACCATTCTCAAATCCTGATAGTAAACCAGTTACTAATTCAAGTTCATTTTTTAAAATGTTTATTACAGAGCCTAACCCTCCTGATACCCGTAGTCTAGTTTTTATCATGCCTTCATAGCGTGTTTTTAAAGAAGTTAAAGAAGATAATGTCCGAAGAGCTATTGATTTAAGTGATATCTATCGATAGAGAAAAGTATAAAATAAATATGATCTAGCCTCGTTATAAAAATGTACAAATGGGATTGAGTCGATAGAAACCAAGTAATTTTTTTTTTTAACAAAATGTTTTGGAAACTTAAATAACATAATTTTAAAGCTCAATAAAAATTTTTTAAATAAATTCTACAAAATTGTAGAATATATTTAAAATCTTTAAAAAATTTTATTAAGAAAAATTTTGTCTTGTTTCTATTAATTCAATTCTAAAATTATTAACAAAAGCATAAAGATCATTACTTGTGATTTTGGTTCGAAAATTGTAGAACGTTTGATAATCTCTTTCATTTCTTTAATCTTAAATTGTTAAATAAAGATTAATCATAAAAAAATTAACATGGTATAGAATTTTAAACAAAAAAAAACTTACTAGTAACCTTTCAGATCTCTTCAGGGATTCATTATTATCCCAAAAAGGATCCGATGGATTATTCATAGAATTCACAATCAATTCCATAAACCCATGTTCTCGTATTAATAACTCTGAACTATGTTTGTCTTCTATCAACAAACATATAATGAATGCAAAACAACACCTTATAAACTATTAATTGTAAATAATAGGACAATAAGATATTAATATAAAGAAATATATGTGTATTAAAAAAAATAGTAAACTAACCGAATCTTGATTCTTATTTAGAATATTATATATTTTTGAAATATAGTTGTGAGCACGAACTTTAAGCAGGAATTCACTGTTTAACAATTTGCGTGATAATTCCACACCACTTGTAAAAATAAACGCATATAAATAAAAG